AGAGCTTATCCACTGTTCCCTGATATTGCTGAGATGACCTAGGCTGTAAATAGCACATGTGCAGCAGCGATGAAGAAGTGACTAGCAAGTTACTGCTCAGCCTTCCCCTAGGAAATAGTTCTGAATTCATACCATAAAGAAAAAGTAATCTCTCCTAATAAACTACAGCATTTATTCAATTGTTGATAACAATAGTTTGTTAGATATTTGATAATTGAAAACTAGTAACTGTACTAGCTCACTTTTTTATGTTTGATCACACTGCTATTTTCACTACGTGTTATTTTTTCTCAATTTACCCACGTTAATTATTTACTAAGCAGATTGTTATTACTTATTAAAATATTGAATAGAATTAAATTTAACCCGATTTCAAGTTTATATGACAATTTGTTTCAAGGTTATGAGCATTTTTATGTAGCTGTTTATAGTTCACTACTGCAAAAATTAGCGATTTTCGGAAATCTTAAATGTTTTAGAAATAAGTCAGTATAGTTTCTTATGCAATTTTAATGCTGAATTGAATAAAATCAATTGCAAATAAAGACATTTAATGTTAAAAGTAATATGCAATTTTTTGAATTTCATCTTAAGGGATGTGTTTTTATATTTGAACAAATGTTTGTAACAACTAGCTATTAGTTTTATTCTGCTTGGTATTATAAATTATATAGGAGATCAATACTCAACTTATTTTAAAAGTATTATTTCAAATCATTCTCTCTTAGACATTTTCCTCACATAAAATTACTCACAACTTTAAAATAAATGCTCCTTATCAACTTGTAATTTGTTCTATTCGATTGAGTGCAAAAAAAAATAAAAATTGGTACATAACTTTAAGATTTAATTCATTAGACGATTGTTGATTCTTGATTACATTTATTAAAAAATATTAAAATAACTATTTTTTAGGAAACTCTTATGTAATTGACAATAACGGAAGTCCTTTTCAGATTCAGCGTCTAAAATTTATAAACAAGCTATTAGTTTCATAAAGTCTGACAAAAAGTTTAAAAATATATAGACTAGGTTTATTGAGTTTAAAGATTTGTAAGAAAAGAAGGAAAGAAAATATAATTATCAAACTTACAAGTACCATAATGATACCAAATGTATAGAAAAATACAAAGTGTTAAAATTGCATATTAAGATTGGAATTATATCTTTGAATTTCTGTAAATGTAGTTAATGTTAGTACTGACTTCAGTGTACTTTATTTTGTGGCTGTGGTACCTGTCATGCTTTTTAGCTATGAGGATTGAACAGAAATGGCAGAAGAGTACTACTATTTATCTGGAAAAAAAATTAACTTCATCCAGTTAATTTAAACCATCAAAAAAATAATTTTAATAGTTTAAAACCTTCCACTATTATTGCAAATATGACTTAATTACTAATTCTTTTTTTTTTTCTTTTAGGTTCCAATAATTACAAGTTTCAACAGGTAGACGGAAACAGTATTTAAAATAATTTTGTTGATTTGTAAAAAAATAAAATTTTAGTTTTAAATAAAAGTATTTGAATTTCAGCTGACTAATTATTTAAATTTGTAGTTTTATAGCTTAAGAAGTTCAAGCACATTAGACAACTATTTTCTGAAAATATGAGTTCCCATAAATAGTTTTTACTAATTGTAGAATTTGGATAAGTGTTATTTTAAGATGATTTAATGAAATCTATTAAAATTACAGAAGAATTATGCATTTAAAACCTTCTTTTATAACTTAACAAAAGAAGCAATTACTGCCGAAGGTTTAATATTAAAAGCTTCAGATTGATAAATGAAGATCTCTACTAGTGAAAAAATGTAATGAGATACATTATTCTTCATATAATATAGATAATATCTTTATATATATATTATATTTTTTATATAGTGAGGTTAAAAATTAATCAACTAGGTGAACACCTCACATTCTTAAGTACTGAAAAAACAGCTTTAGGTTGAGCTACATAAGCCTGAAGTGTAAAATGTCGCATCTTCGGATGATAAATTAATACTTCTAAAAATACTTAAGGTAGAACATGGAACACGAAAAAAATAACCTTTCCAAGTGTTGAAAATACACTTCAGGTTGATTTATCACAACCAGCAGTGTAAAACGACGCCCCATTGGTTGATAAATATATACCTCTACAAGCACAAAATTATATACCTGAGGTTGAAAAATAATTACCTGAGGTAGAACAAAATGCACCTGAGGTTGATTTATAATAACCTGAAGTGTAAAATGATATACCTTAGGTTGTTGAAAAAATACTTCCACAAGTGCAAAAAAATATACTTCAGACTGATAAGTAATAACCTAAGGTTGAAAATAAAACACTTTAAAGTAGTAAATATCTACCTCTCCACAGATGTAAAATTAAACACCTCAGGTTGAAACATATATACCTCTTAAGGTATATTTAAGGTATATTTGAGGTAGATTTTGAGGTATTCATTTGCACCCTTTTCAACCTTAACGAAGTATTTAAATAACAACCTCCTTTATACCTTTCAAATATACCTCGTTGATACCTCATTTATACCTCGATTTTTTCATAAGGGATATGACATAATGCTAGTATTTTTCACTGGTCATTCAAAATTTTATTCAGAAAAATTAGTTATGACTAATAAATTTATTCATTAATCAAATTTGTCTAATGAATGATGAATTATGAATAAATTTGCATATGAATTCAGAACAAATTTATTTCGAATAAATTTAGTCACGAATAAAATTTCCGTGAAAGATGCTCGGCACTGTCTCCTACCCACTTTCTGGCAGCAAGCAAGTGATGCTTGACTTCGGTGCTTAACTGGCAACCATGCCAATTCCAAGATGCGAACAAAAGACTTGGTTAGCCAGCGAAAAATTTCCCAATCCGCGAAAATTTTCCAACATTTCTATAGAAATCGCATATGCAATTTTTTGCCATGCAGTAGTAGCGACATCTACTGGTCATAAACTGTTCCAAGATCCTGGAGATCAGGTGCGTTGTTGTTGTTAATTTACGTCGCACTAGAGCTGCACAATGGGCTATTGGCGACGGTCTGGGAAACATCCCGGAGGATGATCCGAAGACATGCCATCACAATTTTGATCCTCTGCGGAGGGGATGGCGCCCCCGCTTCGGTAGCCCGACGACCTGCGCGCGAAGTCGAGCACTTTACGGTAGCACAGTTTAACGAGGACCAATACCGCACACCCTCGGTCTCTACGCAGACTGATCCAAGTGGTCACCCACCCGCACACTGACCGTAGCCAGTGATGCTTGACTTCGGTGATCTGCTGGGAACCGTGTCTTAACGATCAGTCCACTGCGGGACATCAGGTGCGTAGAAATAAGCGACCAATAACGTAAACAACAACTTTTACCGCCAACTGCAATTATGCACTTGCTTGTTTAAAAATTCTTTACGGTGATAAACTAAATTAAAACAGAGTGGCTGATAGTTAAAACTTTTTATATTAGTGGGAAATTTATTTCTTGCAGTTCATGTAATCAGACTTTTTTATCAAATTGCTCATGCAGTATGGAAAAAAAAAGTTTTTCTCAGAAAAGTGAACTTGTTTTAAATAGTGTTATTCATCCTGTAAGAAAATTTTTTTCCTGTAATATATGTAATAAGAGTTTTTCAGAAGAAAGTTCACTGACTAAACATAGTCTTGTTCATGCTGGTGAAAAACATTATTCGTGTGGTATATGTAATAACAGTTTTTCACGAAAAGAACATCTGATAAGACACGGCCGTTTACATACTGGTGAAAAACCTTATTCTTGTAGTATATGTGATAAGAGTTTTTCAAAAAAAAATGCACTGACTATACACAGTCTTGTTCATACTGGTGAGAAACCGTATTTTTGTAGTGTATGTAATAAGAGTTTTTCACAAAAATGTCATCTGATAATACACCGCCGTGTTCATACTGGTGAAAAACCTTATTCCTGTATTATATGTAATAAAAGTTTTACAGGAAGAAGTGCACTGAATAAACATAGTCTTGTTCATACTGGTGAAAAACCTTATTCTTGTAGTATATGTAATAAGAGTTTTTCAGAAAGACGTATACTGACTAAACACAGTCTTGTTCATACTGGTGAAAAACTTTATTCTTGTAGTATATGTAAGAAAAGTTTTTCACAAAAATGCCATCTGATAATACACTGTCGTGTTCATAATGGTGAAAAACCTTATTCTTGTAGTATATGTAATAAGAGTTTTTCAAAAAGAGGTACACTGACTAAACACAGTCGTGTTCATACTGGTGAAAGACCTTATTCTTGTAGTATATGTAGTAAGAGTTTTTCAGATAGAAGTACACTGAATAAACACAGGCTTGTTCATACTGGTGAAAAACCTTATTCTTGTAGTATATGTAATAAAAGTTTTTCGGAAAGGAGTGCACTGACTAAACACAGTCGTGTTCATACTGGTGAAAAACCTTATTCTTGTAGTATATGTAAGAAGAGTTTTTCAACAACAAGTACACTGACTAAACACAGTCGTGTTCATATTGGTGAAACACCTTATTCTTGTAGCATATGTAGTAAGAGTTTTTCAGCAAGAAGTACACTGACTAAACACGGGCTTGTTCATACTGGTGAAAAACCTTATTCTTGTAGTAAATGTAATAAGAGTTTTTCACGAAAATACCATCTGATAAGACACAGTCGTGTTCATGCTGTGGAGAAACTTGATTCTTGTGATATATGTAATAAAAGTTATTCACGAAAAGATCATCTGACTAAACATGTTCTTGCTCACACTGTTTAGAAGCTATATTCTTGTATTTGTAAAAATTATTCTCACTTAAGGACTATCCAGGTAATCACAGTTGTATTCATACTTGTTTTGTAGCATATGTAAAAAGAGTTCTTCTCAAAAGGCTGACTTTGCTTTTTCTGTTTGTATTCACATTAGAGAGGAAACCTTTTTGTTGTAGCATAATGTAATAAGAGTTTATCTCAAAAACGTCTTCTTACTAAATACAATCTTTTTCAGAAAAGTGATACGCCATATTTTGGAAGTATATTTTAAATGAATTTTCAATAATACTGATCTAAATTTTTACATTCGAGTTCATACTCGTGAGGAACCTTATTCTAGTTATATATGCAGTAAATGTTTCTGAACAAAAATTAATCTTACTAATCATATATTTATTGATACCGGTAGGGAGCCTTATTCTATAATTTCATACTTATACTGTGTATTTTGACATAATGGATACAGAAATAAAGTTTAGAAAAATTGTGAAAGATGCTTTTTTAAAGTTTATTATTTTTAGTACTATTTCCATATCTTGTACAAAATATTTCTATTTTTCTTATTGTTTACATTCAATTAAAATAAAATGCCCTTACATTAAAATTGCATTTGCAAATTTCTTAATGAAATAAATTTTAAAATTTTGTAACAGACATTCTACAAAATCTATTCTTATTTTTTAAGAATTTTTTGAAAGCAAATTAGTGTTGTAGCAATTATAATAATGTTAAGTGATTTATCCTCATATTTTTTGTAAATGTTCAACTTTGTTAGCAATCAAGTTTCTAATGTTGAATAACCTAGTTTTTGTTGTGTATGTAATAAAATATCGTCCCAAAATAGATAGTTTTTTTGTTGCTCATAGTCATGTTCATTTTTTTTTTTATATTGTTGCTCATAGTCATCTTTATTTCATTCGTGTCCATTTTTTTTAATAATTTTTCTGTCCACTTGATAGGAAAATAATTATAAATACTCTTAAATTGCCATAGTTCTGAATAAAATTATCAAAAGTATTGAGTACTAGCCGCCTTTAGCGGTGAGCTTGATCACCTTTCCAAATTATTTAGTACAACTTACATTGCCCTATAGTAATGGAGGGAGCACTTTCAGCTTTTGAAATTTTTTTAAAATCTTTCAAAAAGTACTGAGCATGGATTATTTTGTTATTTAGAGATGTTTATGTCAGGAAATTTGCCATACTTATCAATAAGTTTCAAAGCTTTCACAGGCTTAAAGGAGCGATAATAAATTACGAACTAAAACAAGTATTTTTGAACACCCTATGACAGAAAAATATAGCCATAAGCTTGTAACTTGCTTTGACCACTTCAGTTGTTATTTTTTATCGATGAATAACATTTCGTAAACCTAGCTAAAGTATATATATATATATAAAACAAAAATTTGGCTATAATATAAAAAAATTTTCAGAACAATTTCTAATCATTAAAAAAAAATTTATTTTATATTTTTTTATTTATTTATTAAAGATAAAATTCCTTACAAATTGTGCAAATTCTGAGCATTTAAACTAGTTCTTTCATACCTCACATGCGCTGAGAAAAGGTATAAAAAAAAATTTTCATAAAATTTCGCAGTTAATTGCTTTCTGTGTCTAATGAAATAGACTGATTCGAATATCTTTCACATTTAAAAAGTTTTTAGCAATTTTCTGCTCAGTTTTTGTACTTTTTCAAAGAAACCTCTGAATGATAATGAGTTTCCCACAAATTTTATTTTGTACTATTAAATAAGATTTATTCAAAAGGATAGCAGCATTTTGGGGGATCATCCTCCATGAAAGTATGTTTTCTTTCTTTACATCATCACATTTTAATGTACTATTGTAAGGTATCATTTGTTGTTTAATTTTGTCTTATGATGCAAAATGTAATTTTTTTGAAACCCCTTATCATTTAGAAGCTAGGTTTGTGGAAATTTTATGCAATAATTACTAATAAGCACCAAAGTAATAAGTACAAGTTACACGCTTATTGTTGTATTTTCTAGTATAGTGTATTCAAAAATATTTGTTTTCGGCCTTTCAAATCCCAGAAAGCTGTAAAATTTATTGATAAGTATAAGAAATCGCATGACCCAAACATATCCGAAGTTATAGAAGTTATAGCATTTCTTGAGAAATTTATAAAAATGTCAAAAACCGAAAGTGTTTCTTCCATTATTGTAGGTAGTGGAATAAGCTTGAAGGGTAATGAAATTCTTCTAGCAAGCTTCAGTGGCGTAGCGAGCTTAACTCGCTCCCGGGGTACAATACCTTTTTAGCGCCCCCCCCATTCGAAAACCATATAATATTATATGTAAAACATGCTCCAAATTAATAAATAAATAAATTAAAATAAATAAAGTCATAGGCACAAGCTAGGCTTTAAATTTGAGACAAAAAATGTAGTTGAGAAAACAAGACTAGATTTTGAAATGTATATGATCATCTAGAATTAGTTCAAAAGATACCTATTATTTATTTTGCATATTTATAAAGAAATATTTTAAGAACACGCAGTTTTAAAACAATAAAAAAGTAAATATTTATTGTTTCTAAGCTGATACATAAATTTAATAATAATATGATTTTAATACATTATTAAAACTAATTATTATGTATAAAGTTTCCTTGCTTTTGATGAAGCAAATTTATCAATAATATCATCAAAGTTGATAAGTTAAAATTTTCTCCTTCCACACTTAAAAATGCTAGGTCACTTAGGCGATTTTGCTGAATGAACGTTTCCAGCTAGTAATTGATGCTGAGATAGTCTGGAATATTTGAAGCGTCAGGTTTGGAAAAACATCTTCTCCATACGAGATTATAAAAGTAAGAAATTCTAATGGAGTTTTAGGTTCAATTTCTTTTCTTCTGCGGAGTAACATTTTACAGTCACATAATATTTCGATTAAAGAGTTCTATTCCATTGTAAAATTCACTCAAATTTTTGCAATTTTTTTTCAAGATCGTTATCAACGTTTTCCTTGTTTAATAAGTTTTCAAAGTCTAGTAGAAATCCATACTTGAAATTAAGGTCACTTAATCGTGTACATATTTCTTGTTGGAGACGATCAAGAACACTTTTCATAACGAGAGAAATTTCACTTTCAGCGGAAAGACCAACATCTCTAGCCAATTCTCCGGGACATTTTGCGGCTTCTTCTTACACTTATTGTTGTATCAATATCCCATTTTTCGCAAAGAGACTTCGCTTTTTCTAATTGCCTCTTCACAGAGCTTGTCTCAAATTTCGGCTAGTTCAGTCACTAATGATTCAATGGAACGCTTCTCTGAAATTCATTCTAGGATCTTGTAATATGAGCAGCACACGATCCTTAAGATTTCATACCAGAAATGAACTAAAGTTATGAAACTAAAAATTACTATCATTTGCAACAGAATTGTAGCCCAGGGCTGATTGTGCTCCGGAAAAAATCCGGATTTCCGGAATTTTCGCTAGCAGTTATCCGGAAGTTTCCGGAGATCGAAGGTCCAGGCGTTTCAAAAAATCATTGATCGCAGAAGTTTCCAGATATCAAATTTTCAAGGGTGGAACTTAACACAGTTTATTTTATTCGTTTGTAAGGGAGAGCCAGAGATATACTTTATAAGCTTATATTCATGATTAATATTCATTTTTTATCAGTGAATAGTTGTTATAATCATAAACTCAAGAAAGAAAGACATATTTGTAAATTTTAATTACTTCTCCAGGTCATCATAGGTATGTGCAAAATTTTAAATATATTTTATGTAAACTAAGAAATATTGAGAAAAAGGAAGAAAAAAAACAATGTTTTAATTTTTTTCAATTTAAACCGGTTTTTTTTTTTTTTTTTAAACTCAAGAAATTTTCCGGAATTTTGATCTGGGCTCACTATCACCCCTGGTAGCCTCACTTCTGGTGTCACTTGTAGTGGTAGTGTCCTCTGCTAATTTTTCTAATAGTTCTACTATACTCTTCAGCCCATCGACGATAGCACCGTCGTTACGCATGAGCACACTCAGGAGGCCCTTGAAAATCTCACTTTTTATAAATTATATTTAGAAAAACTGAAAATAAACAAAATTGCGTTATATTTTAAAAATAAATATATTCCATTGTATAAAGTGCATTTTGTTATTCTTTTTACACATAGTGATCGATTATCATGCAAACAACAATAATTTAAATAGTTTATCACCGGGAGAACTTAAAAAGTCAACCGAAATATATTTTTCTACGTTCCAATGAAGTTTTTATGTGGATTCAATCTTTTGGGGAAATCAAAATGTATTTAAATTTGTTTAAATTACTGCATGCGTTAAAAATGCTCTTTTTTATGCATGTGAAGTTTTTTTTTTAGTTCGATTTTAAACAGTATACAATGTTATAAGGGCCCAAAAAATTTCTGTGCTCGGGCCTTTCCTGCATGCTAATAAGACGGTCCTGATCGACGATAACGCTAACCGCTTGTATTCTGGCTATCCATAGTATTTCAGATTCACGTCTGACAGTTTTTGTTAAAGCATTTTTTAATAATTCTCCTCGTAACGTTGAACGTGACAAAAAGAGATATATGTTTTCAATTATTTCAAAACATGTGGCAACGATTGGATCTTGTTTTGCTGCAGTAACTCCTACTAAATTCAATGAATGGTTATCACAATTTACAAATAATGCTTTATGATTTAAAATATATTTTCCAGAAATCAATTATAATAAAAATTACCCAGCAATTTTTTTTGTTTTGCGGAACATTTGGCGCCCCTTTGTGAGTAGCGCCCGGGGCATGATGACTCACCTTGCTCCCCCCCTCGCTACGCCACTGGCAAGCTTCTATCCCTTCAGAACCGAATTTAAACCTTGCTGGTTCCTTAGCTATTGAAGTAGTGGAGCCTTTATTTGCTCAACTCCATTTTCAATACACCAAGAGCAAACTATAACAGCAAATTGTGTTATTTACAGAAGCATTTCAAAATATTACTTGGTTATCGAAAATATCTCTATATTAAAAAAAATTGTACAAACCGCCGCAGTTTTGAGTGTTCAACTTTGTTTTGCTGCATAGAAACGACAAGACTTTGAGAATTTCGTATAACAATATGTTTGTAGAAAAATGCACAGGGAATATGGGGAAATAAAAAAAAATAGCATTTGCTTATTGGTTCGAAACTTGTCGCAAAACTGCTAAACTTGTCACGGTCGGCAGTGGAATGATTGTCAAGACACGTTTCCCAGCAGATCACCTAAGTCAAGCATCAATGGCTGCGGTCAGTGTGCGAGTGAGTGACCGCTTGGATCAGTCTGCGTAAGGACCGAGGGTGTGCGGTATTGATCCTCGTTAAACTTTCCTACCGTAAAGTGCTCGACTTCGCGCGTAGGTCGTCGGGCTACCGAAGAGGGGGTGCCATCCCCTCTGCACAGGATCAAAAGTGTGATGGCATGTCTTCGGATCATTCTCAGGGATGTTTCCCAGACGGTCGCCAATAGCCCACTGTGCAGCTCTAGTGCGACGTAAATGAACTAATCAAAATGTTAAACTTGTCGCAGAAAGGATCATGTGCACCACTATGTCGGCTGCAGGGATGAAATTATAAAATTGAATTTGACTTACTGAAAGCCAATTTTGTTTATGAACGTAGCTCTAACTTTTTTTAAAACTATCAATTAAATTCTTTTCTCTAGGAGCATTCAGGGTATTGCTGTTTGTGGTAATTAACTGCCAACCGCAGAAACTGCTCCCACACTGAATCATGGTAATGCCCGCTTTTTGAAGCTGCGACATTTCTGTGTCTCCACTTTAATTTCTTTTTTAATGTCTTTCCCTCTCAATTTTTGGGATGTTATTTCTG